GAGGGAGCCGCTTCCCGGCAGGGACCGGGTTGGGGTGAGGCGAGGAGGAGGCGGCGCTGCACGAGGCTCCCGGGAAGGAGGACGGGGCCCCCTCGGGACGCAGTGGGGCGGCTCCTTGCGGGGAGCTTCGAGCAGACTTCCTACTGGAGACGCGGGCGGCCCGGGCGGGAGGAAGGGCGGCCGGGGAAGCGCCCCAGGAGGAGGGGCGTCCCTGGCTGGGCGGGGTCCTCGGGGCGACGTAGGGGAGGAAGTGACAACGCTCCCCCTCGGGTCTAGTTCGGGCTTCGGAAAGTCGGACCCGGGCGAAGAGGGTGCAGGTTGCGGAGCTGGCCGCCAGATGGCGCTCCTCGGCCGGGCTGGAAGCACAACCCCTGGGGGGTGTCGGGACCGCGGTGCGGGTGGGACTGCGAGCGCCGCTAGTCCTGAAATCGGGCAGCTAGTGCTCCTCTCTGCTCCCCTTACTGTGCTGTGCCCTGGAGCTTCCAATTCTGCCCAGATCCTTCTAGTCAGGTAGGTAGGTCAAGGGTGTAAAGTTTGGAAGAAAAAAGGGGTGGAGAGTCAGTTAATCAGGATCACCCAGGGGCGGGACTGACAACGGGCCCCTGGAGACCTGACTCCAGGCCAGGGACTGATACTTTGACATACTAAATGTCTTGCATAAAATCTGGATCTGCTGTACAGAGGGCCCTCCCCCTTGGGGTCAGGGGATTTGGACGGTCCAGGGTGGACTTTAGACCGGGCTCGTCTGCAGTCCGCTCCCCCTGGTTCTTTACTCTGGCCGTTAGCCATATTAGGGTTGTGTGGAGCGGTGAGAAAGACTTGTCCCAGTAATGCCCTGGAGAGGAGGAGAGGGTCCCTGGTGACTCAGGAACAAGGCGCTGGGAGCAGGCTTCTCAGGTTTCTTTGCACTCGGTCATTATTAAAGAGGAACAAACAGGTGGAGACGGACTGAGAGATAATTAAGATAGAAGCTGGCAAACTGGCAGAGTCAGGGGAACGACACAAGAACGATTTTCATGGCCGTGTCTGGGGAAGAGATTTAGTAAAGCTGTTATCTTCCAGATGCTCTGTCTCTGGCCCTCCCTCTGCACAGTCCCTTCCCTCTGCCCCAAACAGTGCAGCTTGAAGTGTGATCAAGTCATCCCAGTGAGCACCGGAGGCCAGAGGTTAGCCAAGGAGACCTACCCAGTTATGTTTGGTCCTCTCCTTTCAAAGCTGGTTTTTTCCCTAAAAATAAAATTGGGGGGTGGGAGGGACCACCAGGTGGCGTGGTGGTTAAGGCGCTGGATACTCCCACATGGCGAGCCATGGTTCCAGTCCCGGACCTGGTGGCTTGCTTGCTTTCTCACTTTCTCTCTCTGTGTCTCTCTCTGGTTAAAATAAAATAAGTAAATGAATAAATAAAATTAAAAATAAATAATTCTTTAAAAAAATGTTTTTGCCCAGGCGGGCAGGTGGTGTGGTGGTTGAGGGCGCTGGACTCCTACATGGCCAACCACAGTTTGAGTTCCAAACCTGGCAGCTTGCTTTCTCATTTTCTCTCTCTGTCTCTCTCTAGTCAAATTAAAAATAAAGTTAGATAAAATACTTGAAAACAAAATTGCCTTCGGGTAATGTGTGCTGCCAGAGGGAGAGGGAGAGAAAGTGAGAGATCACCCATGGGGGTCGTGGCCAGTACGGCAATTCCGAACCCTCCATTCTTTTGGGATTTTGGTCCTGCATGCAAGTGCTCCAGGCACTTCTGAAGCTGCCAGGTCTGAGACTTGAACTGCGCTATCAGCCATGGGGGATCCAGCACCTTAACCTCCATGCCTGTTGGCCCTAAAATTGTCCATCCAATCAACACATGTAGGCTAGCCCTACCTTAGGTACCTTTGTTGTAAGCAGAAATACAAAAGATACAGGTCCTGCTCATTTGAGGCATACAACCAATGTTCTCTTTTGTTTTTTGGACCCACCTGGTATGGTGGTTGCATTTAGGCTTCTAGAGCCCCCCCTCTTTTTTTTTTTTTTTTAAGTTTTACCAGAAAGGCTTGCATGCACCAGAGACAGAGAGGGGAGGGGGGCTGCACTGCAATCCCTTTCCCATCTCCCTCTTTTGGCATTTTGGGCGTACACACATTCTGTTCTTTTTCAGGCTGCTGGGTCTGGGACTCAAACTGCGGTTGGCCACGTGGAATCCTGCTTCTTTATACACCAGGTCACTGGCTGGCCCTTTTTATCTCTTATTTATTTATTTATTTTGGAGAGGTTTTTGCTATAGGGAGTGTACCCTCACCAGAAAGAGACAGAAAGACAGAAAGCGAGAAATCACCCCTCAGGGGGGATGGCCACACCACAATCCCTTCTCCTCCATTCTCCTCTCAGGATCTTGGGCACGCACGCACACGCTCCCGGCATAAGTTTAAGCCACCAGGTTCGGGGTTCAGGACATGGACCACAGTCGACTACGTGGGAGTCCAGCAACATAGCCATTACGCTAACTGCTGGTCCCCTCTCTCTCTTTTTAAAAGTTTATTCCTCCTCTCTCTCTTTTAAATTTGTTATATGGTGAGTGTACTTGCCAGAGAGACAGCGAGAAAGAAACCGATAAATCACCCCCAGAGAGATGACCACTCTGTATTCCCTTCTCATTCTCCTCTTGGGATTTTGAGCATGCACATCACGTTCTTCAAGCTTCTGGATCCAGGTCTCGAGCCATGCAGTCAGCCATGGGGGATCCAGCTGCCTTGACCTCCACACCAGGGGCTGGCCCCTCTCTGTGCCTGCCTTTCTCCTTCCTTCCTTTCCTCCCTTCTGTCTCTCTCCTCTGTCCAGTGAAGTCCGATGAGCAGGGCCTGCTCAGTCCCTGGAGAATTCCACAGAGGATAAAATGTGAGCGGGAAAGCGGGCTGGCCACGGGTGAGCCTTGACACGGAGGCGAGGACTGCTGGGAAGGAAGGTCCAGAACAGTTCCTCCGTTTGCTGCTCTACCTGACGGCGTGCTTGGAAGGGTAGGGCTGGCCCCAGAAGAGGGGCCCTTTTCAGATCCAGGGTTACACGTCCGGAGCCGTGGGAGGGCAGCTGGCTGGCTGAAGGTAAGGGCGGAGTGATGAGCTGGGGGGGCTGGGGAGGCTGGATTCCTCCTGAGCCAAAGCAGCGGGTGAGACTACGTGCATGCATTTGCACACGTGTTGGAGAAGGGTGACCCTCCAAATTAGCACCGGGGTACTCCCAGGTAGACAGTGTGGACACCAGCTCAGAGTGAGAGTGAGAAGTGACCAGCAGAATGTTTTAGTTAGGGTGTCTGGATCCCATGGGGTCAGCTGCACAGTTTGAGTCCTGGACCTGCGACCTGAAAAACATGGCAGGCTCGTGTGCATGTGTGCCTGGATTCTGAAACTGACCAGCTGGGAGGTGCTCTCTCTCTCTCTCTCTTGCTCTCGCTCTCGCTCTCTCTCTCTCTCTCTTGCTTTCTCACTCTCTTGCTCTCTGGCAAACACATATGCCCTCTGGCAAAATAAAGTCAGTTTTTACAGTTTTTAAACAATTTTTATTTTTAGATTTTTTGCCATGGGATTTGTGCGTTCACCAGAGAGAGTAAGCAAGTGAGGTGGCCATGCTGCTGTCCCTTCTCCTTTCTCTTTTTGGGGTCATGGGGATGCATGCCCATATGCCTGGGTGTGTGCTTCAGGCCTCCGAGTGGAAACATGAACCACAGTTGGCCATGCGGGATTCAGTCGCCTTCACCACCACGCCACCTGCTGGCCCAATTCATTTATATTTTTTTAGAGTGATGTTTTTATATAGGGTGCGTGCGCTCACCAGAGATGCAGAGACAGACAGAAGGCAAGAAATCAGCCCCTGGGGGGAAGGCCACAATCCGTACCCCTTCGCTCTCCTCTTGGGATTTCGGGCACGCATGCACGCACACGCAACCAGGATGAGTTTTAAGCCACTGAATCTGGGACTCGAACCACGGTTGACTACGTGGGAGTCCAGTGATGTAA